ATTGGCCCTGTTGGCCACACACACCTCCGCGTGCTCCGTGTGGGGCGGGGCTGGCTGTAGCATTCAGGGATTGTCCGCACTGGGTGAGTGAGGATGCGTCCCAGAGGTAGATTGGTCCTGTCTGGCTGAGTGGACATATACAATATCTACCAGATGTTTGATTGGTCTGTCTGGCTGTGACAGTACAAATATACCAGAGGGTATTGGTCCTGTCTGGCTGAGTGACACTGTTTTAGCGACGTATTTTCCAGTACCGTCAAAAGTTTGGAACACATCTACCAATCAATGGTTTTTCGTATTTTTAACTATTTGCTACTTGTATAATAATGTGAAGACAAATCAAAAGTAATGAATATAACCCATATGAATCATCTCGTTAAACAAAAACGTGTTAAAAACAATCAAAATCTTATTTTTATTTGAGATTCTTCAATCAGGCACAGAGTTGTGTTGGGTCCTCTCTCTGTTTGGGTCTATCTCTGTCAGAGTTTGTTGGGTCGCTATCAGAGTTGTGTGGGTCTCTCGTCTGTCAGAGTTGTGTTGGGTTCTCTGTCAGAGTTGTGTTGGGTCTCTCTCTATCAGATTTGGTTGGGTCTCTATCAGTTGTGTTGGGTCTCTCTCTATCATGTTGTGTTGTTCCTCTCTCTGTCAGAGTTGTGTTTGGTCTCTGATCAGAGTTGTGTTGGGTCTCTATCAGAGTTGTTTGGGTCTCTATCAGAGTTGGTGTTGGGTCTCTATCAGAGTGTAGTTGGGTCTCTATCGATTTGTGTTGGGTCTCTATCAGAGTTGGTTGGGTCCTCTGTCAGAGTTTGTGTTGGGGTCTCTCTCTCTCTCTCAGAGTTGTGTTTTTGGTCTCTCTCTATAGAGTTTTGTTGGGTCTCTATCCGAGGGTGTTGGGTCTCTCTCTGTCAGAGTTGTGTTGGGTCTCTCCTCTAATCAGATTGTGTTGGGTCTCCTCTCTATCAGAGGTTGTGTTGGTCGCTACAGAGTTGTGTTGTGTCTCTCTCTATCAGAGTTTGTTGGGTCTCTCTCTATCAGAGTTGTGTTGGTCTCTAATCAGAGTTGGTGTTGGGGGTCTCTAATCAGAGTTGTGTTGGGTCTCTATCAGCGTTTTTGTTGGGTCTCTCTCTGTCTGTTTGTTGGGTCTCTCTCTATCAAGTTGTGTTTTGGGTCTCTATCAGATTTTTTGTGTGGGTCTCTCTCTGTCAGAGTTGTTTTGGGTCGCTCTCTATCAGAAGTTGTGTTTGGGTCTCTTATCAGAGTTGTGTTGGTCTCTCTCTATCAAGTTGTGTTGGTCCGATAGGTTGTGTTGGGTCTCTGTCAGAGTTTTTGGCGTCCTCTATCAGAGTTGTGTTGTGTCTCTATCAGAGTTGTGTTGGTCTCTGCAGAGTTTTGTTTGGGTCTCTATCCAGTGTGTTGGGTCCTCCTCTCTATTAAGTTGTGTTGGGTCTCTGTCAGAAGTTGTTGTTGGGTCCCTCTATCAGAGTTGTGTTGGGTCCGCTTCAGAGTTGTTTTTTGTCTCTATCAGAGTGGTGTTGTGTCTCTATCCGAGTTTGTTGGGTCCTCTGTCAGAGTTGTGGTTGGGTCTCTATCCGAGTTTGTTGGTGGTCGCTCTCTATCAGAGTTTTTGTGTTGGTCTCTCTCTCTATCAGCGTTGTGTTTGGGTCTCTATCACGAGTTGTGTTGGGTCTCTAGTCAGAGTTTTGTTTGGGTCTCTCTCTATCATAGTGTGTTTGGTCTCTCTCAGAGTTGTTGTGTTTGGGCTCTCTCTATTATAGTTGTGTATGGGTCCTCTATCAAGTTTTGTTTGGGTCTCTATCAGAGTTGTGTTGGGTCTCTCTTATCAGAGTTGTGTTTGGTCTCTGTCAAGTTTGTTTGGGTCTCTATCAGATTTGTGTTGGGTCCTCTATCAGAGTTGTGTTGGGTCCTCCTCTATTAGAGTTGTGGTTGGGTCTCTATCAGAGTTGTTTTGGTCTCTATCAGAGTTTGTGTTGGGTCTCATCAGAGTGTTTGGGTCTCTGTCAGTGTTGTGTTGGGTCTCTATTCAGAGTTGTGTTGGGTCTCTATCATATTGTGTTGGTCTCTCTCTATCCGAGTTTGTTGATTCTCTAATCGAGTTGTGTTGGGTCTCTATCAGAGTTGTGTGTGGGTCGCTATCAAGTTTGTGTTGGGCTCTCTATCAGAGTTGTTTTGGGTCTCTCTCTATTAGGTTTGATGTGGGTCTCTATCCGAGTTTTTGGGTCCTATCAAGTTTTGTGGTTCGCTATCAGGTTATTGTTGGGTCTCTGTCGTGTTGTGTTTGGGTCTCTATCAGAGTTGTGTTGGGTCTCTATCAGAGTTGTGTTGGGTCTCTCTCTATCAGAGTTGTGTTGAGTCTCTATCGGAGTTGTGTTGGTCTCTATCAGAGTTGTGTTGGGTCTCTATCAGAGTTGTGTTGGGTCTCTCTCTATCAGAGTTGTGTTGGGTCTCTGTCAGAGTTGTGTTGGGTCTCTCTCTATCAGAGTTGTGTTGGGTCTCTGTCAGAGTTGTGTTGGGTCTCTATCAGAGTTGTGTTGGGTCTCTAATCAGAGTTGTGTTGGGTCTCTGTCCAAAGTTGTGTTGGGTCTCTCTTCTATCAGAAGTGTGTTGGGTCCTCCTTCTCAGAGTTGTGTTGGGTCTCTATCAGAGTTGGGTGTTGGTCTCTATCATAGTTGTGTTGGGTCTCTATCAAGTTGTGTTGGGTCTCTCTCTATTAGAGTTGGTGTTGGGTCTCTAAATCATAGTTGTGTTTGGGATCGCTCCTCTATCAAGTTGTGTTGGGTCTCTATCAGAGTTGTGTGGGTCCTCTATCAGATTGTGTTGGGTCTCTATCAAAGTTGTGTTGGGGGGTCTCTATCAGAGTTGTGTTTTGGTCGCCTCTATCATAGTTGTGTTGGGTCCTCTCTCTTCAGAGTTTTGTTTGGGTCTCTATCAGAGTTGTTTGGTCTCTCTCTATCAAGTTGTGTTGGGTCTCTTCAGAGTTGTGTTGGGTCCTCTCTTCTATTAAGTTGTTGTTGGGGTCTCTCTCTCTCAGAGTTGTGTTGGTCTCTATCAGCGTTGGTTGGGTCTCTATCAAGTTGTGTTGGGTCGCTCTCTATCATAGTTGTGTTGGGCGTCGCTCCTCTACAGAGTTGTGTTGGGTCTCTATCAGAGTTGTGTTGGGGCCTCTTCTCTAGCAGAGTTTGTGTTGGGTCTCTGTCAGAGGTGTTTTGTGTCTCTCTCGCAGAGTTGTGTTTGGTTTCTCTCTCTATCAGAGTTGTGTTGGTCTCTGTCGAGTTGTGTTTGGTCTCTGTCAGAGTTTTGTTGGGTCTCTATCATAGTTGTGTTGGGGTCTCTCTCAGAGTTTGTTGGGTCTCTGTCAGAGTTGTTGGTTGGGTCTCTCTTCTAATCAGAGTTGGGTTGTTGGGGTCCTCTTCAGAGTTGTGTTGGGTCTCTATCAGAGGTTGTGTTGGGTCTCTATCGAGTTGTTTGGTCTCTGTCCAGAGTGTGGTTGGGTCTCTCTCTATCAGAGTTTGTTGTCTCTATCAAGTTGTGGTTTGGGTCTCTCTCTATCAGAGTTGTGTTGGGTCTCTGTCAAGTTGTGTTGGTCCCCTCTATCAGAGTTGTTTGGGTCGCTCTCAAGTTGTGTTGGGTCTCTTCAGAGTTGTGTTGGTCTCTGTCCAGATTGTGTTGGGCTCTAATCAGAGTTTGGTTGGGTCTCTATCAATTTTTTGGTTCCTCTCTCTATCAGAGTTGTGTTGGGTCTCTCTCTATCAGAGTTGTGTTGGGTCTCTATCAGAGTTGTGTTGGGTCTCTATCAGAGTTGTGTTGGGTCTCTATCAGAGTTGTGTTGGGTCGCTCTCTATCATATTGTGTTGGTCCTCTCTCTATTCCAGAGTTGTGTTTGGGTCTCTATCAGTTGTGTTGGGTCTCTCTCTATCAGAGTTGTGTTGGGTCTCTATTCAGGTTTTGTTGGGTCTCTCTCTATTTAGAGTGTGTTGGTCCTCTCTCTCTCAGATTGTGTTGGGGTTCTCTTCATAGTTGTGTTGGGTCTCTCTCTATTAGAGTTGTTTGGGTCTCATCCTCTCTCATAGTTGTGTTGGGTCCTCTTATCAGGTTGGTTGGGTCTCTGCAGATTTGTTGGGCTCTTCAGAGTTGTGTTGGGTCTACTATCAGGTTGTGTTGGGTCCTCTCTCATCGAGTTGTGTTGGGGTCTCTCTCTATCATAGTGTGTTGGGTTCGCTATCTAGAGTTGTGTTGGGTCTCTATCATAGTTGTGTTGGGTCTCTATCAAACAGATGCCTTAATTTGGGTCGCTCTCTAGAGAGTTTGTGTTGGGTCTCTCTCTATCAGAGTTGTGTTGGGTCTCTATCAGAGTTGTGGTTTGGTCCTCTCTCTATCGAAGTTGTGTTGGGTCTCTGATCAGAGTTGTGTTGGGTCTCTGTCTATTAGAGTTGTTTCAGCATCGTCTCGTCTCTCCTCAAGTTGTTTGGGTCTCTATCAGATTGTGTTGGGTGGTCCTCTCTCTATTAGAGTTGTGTTGGTCTCTCTCTCCTCAGAGTTGGTGTTGGGTCTCTCTCTAATCAATTTGTGTTTGGGTCTCTCTCTATCAGAGTGGTGTTGGGATCCCTGTCAAGTTTGTGTTGGCCTCTATTCAGAGTTGTGTTGGGTCTCTATCAGAGTTGTGTTGGGGTCTCTATCAAGTTTGTTGGGTCTTCTCTCTAGCAGTTTTGGTGTTTGGGTCCTCTATCCAGTTGTGTTGGGTCTCTCTCTGGCCGAGTTGTGGTGGGGGGGCTCTATCAGAGTTTTTGGTCTCTATCAAGTTGTTGGTTGGGTCTCTCTCTATCGGAGTTGTGTTTTGGGTCTCTATCAGAGTTGTGTTGGGTCGCTCTCCTACAGATTTGTGTTGGGTCCTCTCTCTATTAAGTTGTGTTTGGGTCTCTCTCTATCAGATTTGTGTTGGGTCCTCCTCTCTACATAGTTTGTGTTGTGTCTCTCTCCAGTCTAGTTCGTCTCCTGTAGTTCGCAGCTGTGTGGATCTCCAGGTGTTGGAGTTGGAGCGTGTTACTGAGTTGGGCCAGAATGGGGCAGCAGAGCTGTGCAGAGAAGGACTTCAGAACCTGGAGACTCTACTACTCACCTCTACTCCGGTTACAGCTGAGCAACTCCTTCTGCACTTGAACAGTGAGTTACTGACCCCGGACCTCTAACCCTGGCCTCTACTACTCTCACCTCTACTTTCCGGTTTTACAGCTGAAGCATACTGCACTTTAAAACAGTGAGTTTTCTGACCACTGATATCTAACACCTGACCTCTACTCACCACACCTCTACTTCCGTTACACAAGCCTGAAGGCCAACTACTGCACTTTAAACAGTGAGTTTTCTGACCCCTCTGACCTCTAAACCCTGACCTCTACTACTACCTCCTACTCCGTTACAGCTGACGCACTAAACTGCACTTTTAACCAGTGAGTTACTGACCCCTACCTCTAAACCCGACCTCTAATACTCACCTCTACTCCTTCCGTTACAGCTGAAGCACTACTGCACTTTAACAAGTGAGTACGACCCTGACCTCTAAATCCCCTGACCTCTACTACTCCAACCTCTATACTACCGGATTACAGCTGAAGCCACTACTGCAACTAGCACTTAAAAGTGAGTTTACTGACCCCGCTGACCTCTAAACAACCCTGACCTCTACTATCCCTCGACTCCGTTACACACTGAAGCACTACTGCACGTTACAGTGAGGTTACGGACCCCATGACCTCTAAACCCTGACCTCTACTACTCACCTCTACTCCGGTTACAGCTGAAGCACTACTGCACTTTAACAGTGAGTTACTGACCCCTGACCTCTAAACCCTGACCTCTACTACTCACCTCTACTCCGGTTACAGCTGAAGCACTACTGCACTTCAACAGTGAGTTACTGACCCCTAACTTCAGACCACTTATTTTTTTACACCTGATTGACCTTAACAAATGTAGGATACTAAAACCCCCAAAACGACCAACTTTTCCTTCTCAGTACTTACCTCTCCCTCACCCTCTCTATATTCTAGGTGTGTGTTGTAACCTCAGGTCCATCATAGTGCAGATTGGGACGGCTGACCATTTGGAGGAGCCAGACTGTCCTGAAGCTAAGAGACAGTACGATGAGATGGTCAACAAGTTACAGGTGAATTAACCTTTAACTTTTAACCCTTGACTTAAGCCCCCTATTCCCTAAAATGCACTACTTTTATGAGTCAACTCCAGTGGTATCAAAGGATGCCAGTTACAATCACAATACTCTATACTATATATATATATATATATATATATATATATATATATATATATATTATTGTCTCTCCTACAGGCCCTCAAGATGAGACCAGGTCTGTCTGAAGTACTGCAGATCGTTTGACCTCTTCCTCCTCCTCGTCTTCTTCCTCCTGCAACATCTCACTGCCCTGTCAGTCACACAGCCAATCAGCGAGTCTGGATGCGACCTCAACAACCAGTCAGTCTTGTTACACATTTGCCAACCAATCTGAAAATACAGCATCCTGGAGAGAAGAAGCGGTCAGCCAATAGGAATCACGCACACGTGAAGATGACATATGAGACGTTAGCTGTGAAGCTGATGGGTCCAGAGATGCTTCCGTCATAAAAGCATCATACTATAGCACTGTAATGTAAAAAACAGGGACTTTAGCCATGCAACACAACTACACACACACACACAACACACAACACCAACACACACAACACCCACAACACACACAACACACCCAACACACACACACCTAACACCACACAACACCACACACCCCAACCTAACACACACACACAACCACCACGCACCACACCACAAACAACTTGTGTGTTCATTCCTCAGTAAGTTAGGGGGTTGGTTTCGCAGGTCTTCGGGGGGTTTAGCACGTCTTAGGGGGTTTATCAGTCTTCGGGGGTTTAGCAGTCTTCGGGGACGTTTAGCAGTCTTAGGGGGGTTTTTAGCAGTCTTCGGGGGTTTAGCAGTCTTCGGGGGTTTAGCAGTCTTCGGGGGTTTAGCAGTCTTCGGGGGTTTAGCAGTCTTCTGGGGTTTAGCGGTCTTAGGGGGTTTAGCGGTCTTAGGGGGTTTAGCAGTCTTCGGGGGTTTAGCAGTCTTCAGGGGTTTAGCAGTCTTAGGGGGTTTAGCAGTCTTAGGGGGTTTAGCAGTCTTAGGGGGTTTAGCAGTCTTAGGGGGTTTAGCAGTCTTCGGGGGTTTAGCAGTCTTCGGGGGTTTAGCAGTCTTCGGGGGTTTTCACATATAGTCCTCCTTAAAGAACTGATCTCAGTCCTCTTTAAAGTGAGTTTAAAAAAAGCAAAATAACTCAGTTGTCTTTGTGTTCACGCTGCCCTTGCCTTTGAATGAGGACTCAACTCTTCACTTCACCTATTTTGTGGTCCGAATCCTCTTTGCATTCACGTTGCTATGTTTAGAAAGGAACCAAGATCTTTTTCCAACATTCACTCAAAGCACTCTGGGTTTTTACAAAGTGCAGGACAAGCCATTCCATCAGAATGTGTTATTGGACAGCTAGATATAGCTACTTACATTTTGGAAGCTAATAGACTGCAATTAGTTAAAAGATTAGACATAATAATTGTAATCAGAAGATACTATTAACATGTAAATATTATTGGTAAGAGAATCAATAGCAGAAGAATAACTGAAGATTCAATAATGCTGTAATTGACAATTGTACACCCAATGTAGGCTACTGCCCCTTTAAGAGCTACAGTATAATTGATTGTGTACCCTATGTTGTGATTCTCACCAAATATGTTGTTGTCTTCTCACACTATTCAATCCCCACAATCGAATAAACAGCTTATGAAGCTCTCTTGCCCTATAGATAACATATTGCAAACAAATAATCTGAACAAAAAATTCTACACATATTTTTTGAATTTCTGTGCGTCCTTGACAATCACTAATCAATAAAAAAAAAACAGCAGACGTTTTTATCCGTGAACCTGCACATCATTATCTTCTCTCTGTTGTGGCACCAATGTGAGGGGTTATGGCAGTAGTCTAGTGTGAGGGGTTATGGCAGTAGTCTAGTGTGAGGGGTTATGGCAGTAGTCTAGTGTGAGGGGTTATGGCAGTAGTCTAGTGTGAGGGGTTATGGCAGTAGTCTAGTGTGAGGGGTTATGGCAGGGGAAACAGTGTTGCAGCAGTCTAGTGTGTGGTGTGGGAGTAATGACAAGTGAACCTGGGGAGCTTTGTGTTCAAATGGCCCTAAAAGGGAACCGGACCGTGGAATTTAAGCGAATCAAACTCAGACCACCTCTTGGGATGGTCTCAGTTCATTTCATTTTGGGAGCTTCTTTGAGGGGTCAGAGTTCCTTTGGGTGTGTTCACACTGCACAACAAATTCAGCAAACCGCACTGAGTTCACAAAAATTGTCTGAAAGGTACCAAGTGTGAGAACATCCTTAGTTTGACAATCTGTCTGGATAATATTAATATTAGTGTTGTTCCTATTCTTCCTAACTGGACCCGTTGTTGTTGTGTGACCATCGAAATACACCTGGTGGGATGGTTCAATCACAGATCAGCATGAACACTCCTAATACACCTGGTGGGATGGTTCAATCACAGATCAGCATTAACACTCCTAAAGACTCCCTTGCCTGATTCAGCCAAGCTGTACTCGTCTGGCCTGGTTACGAGTCCATATAGGACCAAACCAAGCCAACCTTTACTGGTCTGGCCTGGTTACGCATCGACCATAGTTGCTGGAACCATGCTGGAAAGGACAATGGGGCAGATTCCGAGCCAATTTAAGCCTGTGTAAAGTAAAGTAATTCACGTTTCTCTCTATGCGTCTTCTGACCTTGAACTCAGGGCATTATGGGCGGGCCTTAGGACGCCTGGCCTGTCCAACCATACCTACTTGCCCGTCCAAATAAAATATTAAAATATTAATCATTTATTTGACCGAGAAGCGCGCCAATAGAAAGACGCATCAATCTCAGATAAAGCATCCGAGTGAGTGAAACAGCGCCACTTCTGTCTCAGTAGGAGTAGACCATGTATCTGATGCTGTCTGGACCAGAGTAAGGCATGTCATACTATCTCTGTCTAGACAGCATCACATACATGGGCTACATATAGTAAGACGGAAGGGCGCCGTTTCGCTCGCTCGGATGAGATAGGTGGTGAGATAGTTTCAGCAGAGAGGAAGTGGCGAAGCGAGAGGGCTCACACTCGCCAAAATCTGTCCAGAATAAGCCCCAATGTGTTTCTATGGGCAGACCTGAGCTTGTCGCCTGCCTCCCTTTGGGACAAAGACTTCCATTGTTAGGGCGGAGACATAAGCATCTCGTCATTATATACAGATCTCTGGTTTCAGCCTCTTGTGAGTTGGAAAGGAAAGTTGGCGGATGCACAGTGCCCTGTTAGGATGCTGGCTTCCCCTAAAGTAAATTGATGTTTTGGCAAAATGATATAATTACTTCTGTCTAAATAAAATAATTCAAAATACTTCACCAGAGAGCATTAATTAGCCACAGAAGATCATTAGCTTCTTTAATAAGTAGCTGTGAGACAGAATGAAGTAGACGGCTGCAGGTGATTGATGTGTTTTGCTGTGTCCTTTGGGGATCTCTAGATGACCTCTTAATGACATCACCTTAATGACATCATCTTAATGACATCATCTTAATGACATCCTCTTAATGACATCACCTTAATGACATCACCTTAATGACATCACCTTAATGACATCATCGTAATGACATCATCTTAATGACATCCTCTTAATGACATCATCTTAATGGCATCCTGTTAATGACATCATCTTAATGACATCCTCTTAATGACATCATCTTAATGACATCATCTTAATGACATCCTCTTAATGACATCATCTTAATGACATCCTCTTAATGACATCATCTTAATGACATCATCTTAATGACATCATCGTAATGACATCATCTTAATGACACCTCTTAATGACATCATCTTAATGACATCCTCTCAGGATGTTCTCTGGATGTTCTCAGGATGATTAGTGTATCATTAGTTCATGTGGTAGTGGTCTGCAGTGTAGTGCCCTTGTTAACCTCTAATAATGACACCCCCTCAGGATGTCATTAAGAGTTTGAACTTGAACTTTTAACTTCTGTTTGAAGGAGGCCTGAGTTTAAACTTTTGAACAGTTCAAACGTTTGAGAAGTTTTGTAGTGAACTCGTTGAACTGCTGCGTAGTGAACTCGTTGAACTGCTGCGTAGTGAACTCGTTGAACTGCTGCGTAGTGAACTCGTTGAACTGCTGCGTAGTGAACCCGTTGAACTGCTGCGTAGTGAACTCGTTGAACTGCTGTGTAGTGAACTCGTTGAACTGCTGCGTAGTGAACTCGTTGAACTGCTGCGTAGTGAACTCGTTGAACTGCTGCGTAGTGAACTCGTTGAGTAGTGAACTCGTTGAACTGCTGCGTAGTGAACTCGTTGCCCATTGTAGAATTAACAGAAAGAATTCAATTCCAGGTAGTTCGGATATTGCCTGAGTATACTGTCAGTATGAGTAGCAACTGCACAGTCCTGTGAACACTACGAGCGAGAAGAAACCTCAAGAGAGAAGAACCACAGAAACCTCTGGGGGAAAAGATGTGGAGTTTTTACGTATTGATCCGCGTGTGATGACGGTAACATCGGAAGTAGGACTAAGGCTACAACAGAAAAATAACAGAGTATAAATCAACAATATATGATGCTCCAAAAAAAGCATTTTTAAATTTGTACAGTACCCAAATACCTCCAGGAACGGCACTGACAGATCAATTGGTTATGTCTAATTGCCAATTGTGGGGTTATGTGCTTGATTACCCGGCCTGTAAAGTGAAGCTCTATATCTTAGCTGAAGGATAAGAATATACAGGCTGGAGGACTGGGAGGACCAAAGGTCTATACACTACATGAGGACTGGGAGGACCACAGGTCTATACACTACATGAGGACTGGGAGGACCAAAGGTCTATACACTACATGAGGACTGGGAGGACCAAAGGTCTATACACTACATGAGGACTGGGAGGACCAAAGGTCTATACACTACATGAGGACTGGGAGGACCAAAGGTCTATACACTACATGAGGACTGGGAGGACCAAAGGTCTATACACTACATGAGCAACAGTATGTGGACACCTGCTCGTCGAACATCTCATTCAAAAATCATGGGCATTAATATGGAGTTGATCCCCCCTTTGCTGCTATAACAGCCTCCACTCTTCTGGGAAGGCTTTCCACTAGATGTTGGAACATTGCTGTGGGGTCGAGCACTGATGTTGGGCGATTAGGCCTGGCTCGCAGTCGGAGTTTCAATACATCCCAAAGGTTTTCGATTGATGATTTAATTTATTAGGCAATTT